TATTGTCCTCAAAATATTGTGGCTGAGACATGAGCCGATTAAACGTAGAAATAGGAAACCTAGAAATATAGTAAAAACGCTGAATAGTACTCCAGCGTCGCGACATGCCGACGTTGGTACGAGTAAGTTAGTCTACAAACGTCGCCTAAAGTAATTGATTTTACGCGGCAGAACGAAAGAAGGAAACTCCGCTTTTAAGTTGTCTCAGGCGATTGATTTTTGACAAACAATGACCTTTCAGAGGTCAAATTGCTGTTAAGAATATGAATTGGCTGCTTCGCAGCAAAAAGGTTTGTTAATTGGGGACCACAGAAAAGTGGTCTTTAATTGGAGGTGGTCTTATTGAGGTCTTTAATTAGAGCGAGACCTGTATCTTTCATTCCTACCATATCCCCACTCAATGTGTTGACAAATCAAAATTGAATATAGAAAAACAAAACTTAAATACGATGAAAACATACCCGACCAGCAACATTACAGTTTCTGACCAATAATTACGTAACCGTATTGCTACTGTTGATCCTTACTGTATTTAACCAAGATATTTATTCAGAATACGTACTGTATTCAATTAATCCAATATGTACAATATTAAAACTGACAAATCATGCAAATTGAGCTGCCATACGGACATAGTAAACAACAAATGTTCACATTAAACGATTCAATAACATGATTACACGACAACGATGAAGTCGAGGAAATAATGACGTCACATAAAGTAAGCATTTATTTACGTGGGAGTAGAATGTTTAAAGGCACTTACAATAATCATAGATAATAAGTGAGCCTACTTCCATTGTACTTAAGAGTGTAGGTCGATGTGGTTCTCTTTTTTAGTTTGATTTATTTGGTTTTAGAAATTGATTGATTAATTGAATTTATTCGATGCTTAACATACACATACAATAATATACATGATGTGTGAACACCTGAGTTCCCTTCATAATTGCACATACTAAATTACGAATAATAAAAAATTAAAATTCAAAAAAATAACACAAAAATATGATAATATATGTACGGTATAGGTCTATTACATCTAAAATACGTATACAAGAAAATACTATACAAAATCTACATTCTTCTTGAAATTAAAATTATTACTAAATACAGATTGAAGTTATTACATTAATTGAATAGCAAACGGTTACAATTTTTTTTGGTAAAAAGCAAATAAACCTAATTAAAAAATTGAACCACCAAATTCCCACTAACATATTATTAAACTGAAATTATGTCCATTCGAGAAAAAGTGATCGTATATGATGATTTTTTTTATAGAAAAGTTATCATAAATATATGATAACAAGTTTCTCCGCAGCGTTGAAATTTGATCAGTTTTTCTTTATGCAGTAGTTAGTATTTCATTATTGATGACGTCTGTAAGAGATGGGTTTCTTCACTACCACATATATACTCCTCGTCAGATTTGAATGACTTGGCCAACGCCTCTTCAATAGATCCAAATTTATATTGAATATATCTGTTAAACAAAAACAATCGGTTTGTAAGGTGATCAAAAAGTGTGGTTGCTTGGCATACTCAAGACTGTAAACATTTTACAATTAATTTCTAGAATCGTTGTCATTTCCAAACCGCATTCACACACATTCACAAATTTAGCAAAAAAAATCTTTTTTGGGTCACAACATTAACGTAATTTGTCATCATACACATCATTTGATAGATAATTTTAAAAGCTTTCGTTTGATACCAAATGTATTCATATTGAATCTTTTAGTAACATACTAGCTTCAAAATATCATTTTTGGGTAAAAAAGTGTACAGTTTGCCATTTTTGCTTGAGATAACTTTTGACATACTATAAATCCAAAATACAAAATGGATAATGTCTGAAATTTTTATGTTTGATTTTGTATGTGGTCAGTTTCTGAAAAAGCAGACGAAAGGTTGCTAGCTTAGTATTTTTCGTATTTATTTATTAAAACATGTAGGCCTATTAATAAATTTAGTAAAAAATGTCATAAAAAATATGATTTATGTCATCAAACACATTATTCGATAGATAATTTTACTAGCTTTCGTATTATACCAAATATATTCAAAATGAATCTTCAATGACGGATTAGCTTCAAAAAACGTGTAAAATTAAAATAAAATTTGCCACTTTTTGGTCAAATATGGCACTTAAATCCAAAATTCTGAGTGGCAACAACCCATTCCGTGTGAGCCAAGAACTGGTGATGAGGATTCACCTTGTTGCCAGGTTGTAACAAAATGATGGCTACGACAAAATTTTTTGAGCACTTTCAATCTGATGGCCACTCGTCTATAAGAGATGTAGTGCTACGCGCTACACGAAAATCCAATTAGGACATAATACATTAATAATGTTCTGCTAATTATAATTTATATTCTGGAAAACTCTTAGCTACATAGGCCATTTAATATTTGGATTTATGTAGACATAATACTTACATTACAAGAAGCATATTGACTAGAGCTCCGGCGAACATTATGTAGAAAATAAGACCTGGAATAGTTTCCACGGTAGCTGAGTAGGTGACGCCGATCCAAATAGGTCCTAGTAAGAATCCGAGGTTGTCCAAAACACCAGCCTGAGCGAATATAGCTCCTTCAAAACGAAATAAGATAATAATCAAGAAAGTTTAAAAGCCAATTCATTTAATTTCCTTTCTTTTAGAATCATAGGCTACGATTATGTGTACAAACAAATATATACATAATAACAGTACTCGGATAATGGAACATAATGTTAATAATAATTCTAACAAATTCACAGGTGGTTGTTTAAGGCGTCTGCATGGACAGCAGAAGATTCCATGCTCTTGCCTACATATCTCTTTTATAAAATATTATATAATCTTTAAAAAGATTATATTATAATCTTTTTAAATGCTTATTACGTGATTTATTATTCGCTCAGTGTATCTTACTGTAATATCCCAGTAATTTCTATTGGACAAAACACATTTAAATTGAGTTGATTAAAAATAGAAGTATGCCAATAAATACATGCATAGACTAATAGGAAGTAGTTAAGCTAACCTTTCTCATTCTTCTCTACCAGTTTTGACAGTTGAGCTTCGACGATTGCTTTCGGTAGAATGGCTAAGACGGCCAGTGGCACGGCTGTAAAAAGGTGCGTCCATTTATAATGATTATTGTCATATTAATGCTATTCGTTGTGTTTTATTGGCAATCAAATTTATATGAGGCCTACAGTACTAAAATTATGAAGTAATGCAAAGGTAATAAAATAAAAGAAATATTCAATAACTAAAGTGCTTGCTTTGGAAATATTAAGTAAATATTACTTGTAAAAAATACAAATAATGCTGTTATTAATGTATTGATATATGTATATATATACATATATATATATATATATATATGATAGATTTTTCAGTGGGATTGAGCACTGTTTCACAAAAAATTGAGATATTTTATATATATATATATATATATATATATATATACATAAATATATATATATACACACACATATATATGTGTGTATATATATTATGTATACACACATATATATACACACATATATATACATATATATATACATATATATACACACATATATATATACATATATATAAATACATATATATATATATATATACATAATATATATACACACATATATATAATACTGTATTGTAAACGGGGTAAAGTGGAATCTGTAATTGTGGAAAAATCTCTTCATCTCTATGTAAACGCTCCTAATAATCGGGTCGCTAGTGCGTTCGTTGGAATTTTGAATCCGATTGGAGGAAATTCCATAGAATAATTTGGAAATATAATATCAATTAACCCCCCCCCCCAAAAAAAACCCAAAAAAACTATGCATTGTGGTTAAATAGTAGGCCTACGCCGTAACTCACACAAGTATATGACAGTATCCGAGGTTGCTGCAGCAATGACCAGTGATGACGCCATAGCTGATAACGATCCCAGGTAGAAGAGAGCATAGTCACTGATGTTGCAATACCTTTGTAGTGCTTTGGTGATAAACAGCATTCCTAAAAGACATTAGTAATAGAAATTAACATTAATTTGTAGATCAATAAAATATTTCAATATCGCTTCATTTCCACGCATTCCATAAAATATTGCAAGAAGTTAATAGAAAATATAATAATACTATTAAAGACAAAATTGATGAAATTCGTTATTAAGAAACATATAACAACAGTGTATGTGTCTTAATTACAATGAAGCTAAAATGAATATGGGCAGGAGGCGCCAGGATGCAAGTTACTTTGGCGTGTAACTTGTTTAGAGACGTTTAAACGAGTTATCGTGTTTTATATTGATGTTTTGATAAATAAAAAAGATTGTATTGTAATATATGTGTTTTAAAGTACCGTACCCATTTGTTGTTTTCATGCTAAATAATAAAACCATCATAAACATTGCTTTAGTCAAAGGGTGAGGTTAGAATGTGAATGGGATAATGATTTTTTTGGTGCATTGTTATTAATTATTCTCTTACCAACTGTATTTGATAGAAAGTACGCGGAGGTAAATTGACCGGCGCCACTGGTAGACATGTACAGAGGCGGGCCAATAGAGTACATTTGTAAGCCAAATTCGAGGGAATTTACCAAGATGGAGTTCAATATACGAGCACTCATCAACCACCACATTAAACTGCGACGGTTATTTCTATTGCTCGATATGACACTGATTATGTCCGCTACGACATCCTTGAAAGAGAATGATTGCTGCATTTGACTCGGATCAACGGATTCCTTCATCAGACATACGATGTAGAAAATCGAAAAAGCCAGTAAAACTGTCATGAATATGAAAGGCTGTAGAAATCCAGTGGCGTCTATCCATATGGAAAAACATAATTGTCCAAGGGTAATTGCAAGGAAACTGATACCAAGAAGTATGGACATACGGAGGGTTAGATTTTCTTGGGTACACAAATCACTAATGTAGGAACCGGCACCAGATCGGTGTAAAATAGTGTTTCCCGTCAAACCGATTGATAGGTTACCGATAAGAATGTACTCTATTGGTAGTCCGTATACGTACATGAAAATGAAACTGACAGATGACACTAGCATTCCTAGAGTTGGAAGTATCATCGAAATTTTTCTGCCGCCGCGGTCGCTCCATGTTGAAATATATAACGTACTAAATATAGCCGGCAGAGACTGGCAAACAAGACAAATTGTTGCCCAGTTTGCCACCAATTTCTGAGTGTAATCTGTTTTTATATGTTCAGTTGTCGAATTAAGTTCCAACAAAAGTATATATTCTGCGAAGACTATCCCTTGTATAGAGAGAAGTGAAAACGCCAGATACACAATTAATATAGTTATTTCTACTGGAGCTCCGCAGCAGACGCTTAAGTAAAAAGACATGATTATGTGTTTTAAAACAGCTGCTGATACCAAATTTATATAATAGAGTACTGAACTTGTACCAGCAAATAAAATACAATTTCTTACTAGTCATTAATTTAATTTAGATGAAAATGTGATGTTATGCATACGGGGACGGTCCGGACACCACACTTTTATTGTAATAAGGACCATGTGGTATTTATGAGTTTCTCAACCACAACATATTATTAAATTATGTAGGCTATCAAACATTATTCTTCGAACAATTATAAATCTTTCAATAAAATCATTAATTAACCTCTATAGTGAAGAAAAGAAAATGTACTGTAAACAGCGAATGACATTTCACATGATGACATTTTTTCTGCAAATTTCCTCTAACTCTAAACTAAGTCTCACAGAGTAAACTATTAAGTCGTTATTATGGTACCATGATGGTATAGCATTCTGTATAGACATACAGCCTGTTTCTTTAACAATCAATTTTAGGGTGAATGATAAATTACAAGAACAAATAATCGGTTATGTTTTTGTTAATCGGTGAGAAAATACTTTGTCGTTCTCTATTTATGTATTTTTTTAATGTTCAGAAATCATGTTTTTATAGCAGATAGGCCTACGCCTTAACTACGGTATTCCACTATTGAAAAATATATTACTTATACAAATGTATGCCATCGATTATATTCACTAGATTTTAGTTATTTGGGGAAAAAATGATCATAAGTGAGTAAACCATATATAGCCTAAAATAAAATCAAATGAACTTTTATTCAGCAATTTGTAATATTTGTTGTGTTTTAGAATTAATTATTCATAGGCTAAATTCACAACATAATTACAGTGCTGAAATATAAAACATACATCTTTATGAATATGCCGGTGTAGGGAGATTATATTTGAGCATCAGTTTCAAAAAAAGAAGTTAAAAAAAAAAAAAAAAATCAAAAACACCCCAGTGATATTAAGCACATTTACTAGAAGCAATGTCTCCGGAACGCCCTCTGACGAGAATGTGCAAAGCAATCGGGAAAAACGAATTTGGAACGCTGATCTTATGTCGGTTGTATTTATAGAGATTTGACGGAGTGTACGAAACGATCTGTATCTCTCGTTTGAGACGCCACTCAGTACTGCAATTCGTAGTGAGGGGTGAGAGGTATTGTTTAATACTAAAGCTATCCTAGCCAAACGTTGTAATTATTATTATCAGGCCAAAATGACGTGATCTTCGAGATTGAGAGAGTTTGTGATTCATGATATTATGTCACCGTGTTCACTTATAAAAGCGCACCGTCTCTTGCATACTCTGCTGCCACTCTGATTTGCTCAGATCGTGGAGGTATATATCCTCCATGCTCAGATTACACAATTAAGCGTGCGTATACGTTACGTGTCACACCATGGAACTATTAGTAGCTCCATGGTCACACACAGTGGTATTTTGAAGTGAGTTGTTCTTACTCTAATACCGGATTTGAAGTCATGTTCTGTCACAAAATGTCGCCTACCTTTGAAGTACGGTATGACAATACGAGGTATATAACAACAATCACATTTATACTGTCCCCAACCTGTGTCCGTGTGACCATCTTAAATTTCAAATTTAAGATGGTCGTGCAAGGTTTACGCACTACCATCTTCATTAAAATTCCACCTCCCCAAATACACTTTAAACTGTAATGTTCCGCAGGTGGCTCTCCCTGGTTTTACCATACGCCTCGTCTCGTAACAACCAACTAAATTTTGTATATCCAATCCCACTCCCACCAAAATGCACCATGCTCCTTTAGATGTCCGCCCATATTAATGATACTATGTTAATACTTATGTTAATACCTGTTTGCGCATACTCACAGTGAGTTCCGTGCAGTACAACTTTTCTTTATTGTTTGATTGTCGAAAGGACTAGTACTCGACAAGGTTAGAGAAATTGGCAACAGACAGTGAGAAGAAAGGTTTGATACTAATCTGCAATAACATTGTTACAATGATATCAAGTTAAAAGAAGAAATCTACTTTGAAAATTTTGTCCTAAACATTCATCGTACTTACCAACTGTATTCGAGAAAAAGTACGCGGACGTAAAATAACCAGCGCCGCTGGTAGACATGTACAGAGGCGGACCAATAGCGTACAGTTGTAATCCATGGAAGATTGCATTTACCAATAAAGAGTTAAAAATACGAGCAGCCATCAACCACCACATTAAATTGCGACGGTTATTTCTATTGCTCATTACGACACTGATGATGTCCACTACGACATTCTTGAATGAAAATGATTTCTGCATTTGACACGGATCTACGGATTCCTCCATCAGGTATGTGATGTAGAATAAAGAGAAAGCCAGTAAAACTGTCATGAATATGAAAGGCTGTAGAAATCCAGTGGCGTCTATCCATATGGAAAAACATAATTGTCCCAGTGCAATTCCAAGCAAATTTACACCAAGAATTATGGACATACGGACAGTTAAATTTCTTTGGGTACACGTATCACTAATGTAGGAACCGGCACCAGATCGGTGTAAAATGGTGTTTCCCGTCAAACCGATTGATAGGTTGCCGACAAGAAGATACTCGATTGGTAGTCCGTATAAGTACACGACAGTAAAACTGATGGATGTCACTAACAGTCCTAAAGTTGGAAGAATCATTGTTATTTTTCTGCCACCACGGTCGCTCCATGTTAACACGTAAAGTATAATAAAAATAGCCGGCAGAGACTGGCAAACAACAAAAATTGTGGTCCAATTTGCCACCAACACCTGAGTGTAATCTGTGTCTACGTCCTCAGATGTCGAATTAAGTTTCAACAAAACTACATATTCTGTGAAAACCACACCTTGTATAGAAAGAAGCGTGAACGCTAGATAAATGATAAATACAGTGACATCTACAGGAGCTCTGCGCAAATAGAGAGAAAAAGACATGACTATTCTGATGACTTTTCAAACTGAGCAACTACTGACTACCAACTATGTTAAAACAATGAAAATCTGAAACAAACATCGATTAGAGTACCAAACTAACTGGAAGGGTTACCCTCTTTAAAGATGGTTGAAATAAAAAAATAAATAATAATGTTATGATAGTTTACTAATATTGCGTAACGAAGTTGAATATACAGGTACCGTACTACTGGAATAAGTTAGCATGGTAGTTACAGTATTGTACGATATGTATAGAATACATACTATATCAATAATTGATAAGTATAGCCCTATATTATTGTTATTAGTCATAAAACCCGCCAAT